ATTCTATACTGTTTAGATCATCCTTCTTGTATGAGACAGGAACAAACTCATCAATGTGATATTTGAAATCTGATACCTCCACTGATATACATATCATGCATACGTGCTCTACGTGATACTCCTCACTGTCATACATGAAAGGAAAAAGGAGCGTGATTGTGTGAAGATCTACATGTGTTTTTTGGTCCTGGTTTATATAAATTATAAGGCTCTGTTTATGTAGTACAGTAATGTGTTAAACATATGACATGATCATGTTTCGGTGAACATGGTCTGAAAGATCATTAAAGAATTATGTGAAATTGGTCACTGTAGCTATTTAAATCCATCTAATGCAATTTCAGGGTGGCAAAACAAAATATTCTGGATGAGGACATTTACTGCCATTTCCTAGCATCATTTCAAAGTTGAAGTGTTTGAAATAACCCAGAAACATGGTACGCAAGGAGTCCCTGTATTTTTTACCCACCAATGAATAACTAGAATCAACGTACGATACGAAACAAGCAATCATTAAATGATTTTCCGTCAGCAACATCATATTTTTGCCTGACAGATAAGATCAGTATCCTACATGGGTTGATTCAACATATTACAGATTAAAAAATACAGAAAACTGACTTTAAAAATTCAGTTTTGCTGCCCTGATATTGCATTGCAAGATTACCGGTATAAGCTAGCTTGCTAAGGATGTTTATCATCAAGTTAGAATTCGGGGCTAGTGACAGAAGAAAAATCAGACAGCTACATTGAGAAAGGCATGCAAATAATTTTGACATGTGCTGATATTTATCATACATACTTATCAAAATATGTGAAAGCAGTGACAAACATAAACATGTTAATTTTAGAACAGGGTCATTGACCACATTAATTTAAAAGAATAAAGACTTACTGTAACACATGCACTAAATCACACCTACTGAAGTTGAAAGCGATAATTACGAAGAATTGTTTTATTGTCAATAACTAAAGGCACTGAAAACAGCCAATCAAACACCAGTATACAAATAATGGTTCCCGACCGAGGTTGACATTTCTGTCTCTTGATTAAAGTTATAGTGTTGATATCATAAATGTATAGGTTATATGTGCAGGTATGCCATAGGATCAATATGAACTGTGATGATATTTATGGTATAATTATCTCACAGAGTCAGTTGTTGGTACTATTGTTGCAGACAGATGAAACCCAAGCGACTACCGGTATAGATTTTTCCATGATTCAGGTTTAGAATATATTACAGCAATTCTAATAAATTTATTGCATTTTTCACAATCCTAAGGGCCGTTTTGCGGCTCTAGGATTTCTGAGCAATACCGTGGCACACATACAATGTACAATTTGCTCTCCATACACTGTAAGTTACAGTTCATTTTATGTTTGCACATGCACTGTTAAGTGGGTACGTATTAACGATTTTGCTGTTTTATTTTCGTTTTTTGGTGTACAGATCACTCGCACCTGTTTGCTGATGACCCGAGAATGGCCAGTCTGATGCGTCGGATCTATCGCGATGATGACCGGGAACGGAGGTCCAACGCCTTCAGTCAACTGCAAGAACACCTGCAACACCCCGATAACAAACAGGTTGGTTTGGTTTCTCTTTTGCTTTAAAGTAAGGCCTAGGCCACACCAATTTAATTTCTTGGTTAACGGATTTTTCTAGAAAAATAATGGAGCGGGCGGGCGAAAAAAAAATAAAAATAAAAGCAGGCCTAGGCGTCTTATTATGGCCCAAAATGGTACGATAGGAGCCATGAAGTTAATACACCAGGCTGGTTCAAAATTTAAACAATGAATTTAGAACTTTTAATGATACCATTGCATTGAAAGATGGAATAACTGTAACAACTAGGATGAAAAGGTCTGTTTTCAACTGTTCAGGGCAAAATATGAGCATTTTGCAGTTGATTCTGGATTTTTATTTTTATTTGCAAATCAGAAAAAAATGAAGCAGCGAATCCGTTAACCAAGAAATTAAATTGGTGTGGCCTTAGGATTGGAAAGAAAATGTTTCCTTTCCTGTTTCCCAATCGACCCTAGTCAGCATAACTGGTGTGTAAAAATAAGACATGATAACTCTCCACTAGCATTTTTAGCATCATTATAGCATATTGTGGAGTTAAACTTAAAAGATAAAGATAAAGGGAAAAATGGTCTTACACATGTAGTATACTGGACTTAAAAATTGACTCACACTGTACTTAATTGCGAATCAACTAGGGTAAGGGGTCAGGTGAAGTTGAAAGGGTGGTGGCCTGGTTAAATACCACAGGGATTAACATATGACAGTTGTAACTTATGATGGGATTATACTATAGGCTATTTAAGACCACCTCTCCATACTTGTATCTGGATGTCAACACAATGCATTAGTTGCATTTCAGCCTATACTTGTCTATACTTTCTGATTCATCAAAATTCATCTTATGATCACCCTACTTGTACCAGTTTGCTAGGATTTCATATATCCTATATTGTATACTATTAGTTATGACATTAATAATTATCATTTTGTATTTTGTAAGATTTGTTAAGAAATTGTTAAGTATTATAGTACGTCAACCTTACTTAACCTTCTACAATCACACAGTATATACTCCTATACGTATACTAGTACTTCTAGTTGGCACCTCTTACAGTTACAATGCGTCAATCTGTTGACAAGAAATGACATACAACAGTGTTCTGATAGGGTCAACTGAAGTTCAGGGGACGTCTGACCCTGACCTAAATTCCCTGAGCTGTTTTGAGGGATACAGTTACATGTACTTGTAAGATGGTGTATGAATTTATGATGAAGTCTAGAACATGTTGTTCGTCACAATTTCTTGTCGTAAAAAGACATGAAAATTACACAAATAATATGCTTTTGTTCGTTCAAAATATTGTGTGCTCGGTCACTATTTAGAAAAGTCAAATTTTTCAATATTGACATAATTAATGGTTTTATTTTGATTGGCCATGAACTTTATGATCATCACAATGTTGATTTCATGATATCTCAACAGTACATAATGTTATATCATATTTTACATCTTAAAATGA